GGGAGAAGAACCGGGACCAGAACTGGGAGCAGCAGAAGCAGGACCGGGAGCAGAACCGGGAGCAGCAGGAGCAGAACCAGGAGAAGAACCAGGAGGAGAAGACGAACCGGGGGAAGCAGAACCGGGAGCAGAACCAGAGGGAGCAGAAGCAGCGCAGGGAGCAGCACCGGGAGCAGAACCGGGAGGATTAAAAGAACCGGGAGAAGCACTGCGAGGGGCAGTACCGGGAAAAGAACCGGGAGGAGTGGAAGAACCGGGAGAAGCACTACGGGGAGCAGCACCGGGAGGAAGAGAAGCACGGGGAGCAGAACCCGGGGGAATAGAAGAACCGGGAGAAGCAGCACCGGGAGCAGAACCAGGGGGAATAGAAGAACCGGGAGAAGCACTACGGGGAGCAGAACCGGGAGCAGCACCAGGAGGCTCCGCTCCATGCGGCGCTGAGCCCCGCCGAGCCCCGCGGAGCCATGGCCATGGTGGCCGGCGCTTGGGGCGAACCGAACGGCGGCGGAGGCGGCGGCGGCGGCCCCGGCGGCGGCCCCGGAGCCGGTGGCGGTGGCGGAGGGCCGGAGGAAGCGGCGTCCCCCGGTGGTGGCGGCAGCGACGCGGAGCACGGCGAGGAGGAGCGGCCCGGGGCCGGCGCGGACTGCGTGGTGTGCGGGGACAAATCCAGCGGGAAGCACTACGGGGTGTTCACCTGCGAGGGCTGCAAGAGCTTCTTCAAACGCAGCATCCGCAGGAACCTCAGCTACACCTGCAGGTGACACCGGGGGGACAGCGCGGGGGACACCGTGGGGGAGCCAGGGGGACATCGCGGGGACAGCAGGGGGACACCTGGAAGGAGCGCAGGAACACCTGGGGGACACCTGGAGAGGAGCAGGGGTACCCAGGGATGGGGAGACACCCGGGGGACACCTGGAGGGAGCGCAGGAACACCTGGGGGACACCTGGAGAGGAGCAGAGGAGACACCTGGGATGGGGGAACCAGGGGGACACCCCGGGGACACCTGGAGAGGAGCAAGGGGACACCCGGGGATGGGGGGACACCTGGCGAACACCTGGAGGGGAGCAGGGGGACAGCACGGGGGACACCGGGGGGAGTGAGGGGACACCGGGGGGACACCCGGGGGACAGCGGGGATGGGGGACACTGGGGGGTTGGGGATGAGTGGGGGTCTCGGTGTGGGGGTGCTGGGGGTGTCCCAGTAAAAACCAGCGGCTCCCAGTTCAGCTGAGGTTCCCCCCCCCACTCCATCCCAGTGTCCTCCACTCCAGCACTGGTTTCCATCCGCCCCGGCCGCCCCCATTCCCGGTGTCCATTCCCAGCGTTCCCGGTGTCCATTCCCGGTATCCATTCCCGGTATTCCCAGTGTCCATTCCCAGTTCATTCCCAGCGTCCTTTCCCAGTATTCCCGGTGTCCATTCCCGGCATTCCCGGTGTCCGTTCCCGGTGTCCGTTCCCGCTGTTCCCGGTGTCCATTCCCGGCATTCCCAGTGTCCGTTCCCGGTGTCCGTTCCCGCTGTTCCCGGTGTCCATTCCCGCTGTTCCCGGCGCTCCCGGCATTCCCGCGGTGCCCGTGACTCACCCCGGGCACAGCCAGGATCCAGAGGGAGCCGCGGGAATGCCGGGAACACCGGGAACAGCGGGATCCAACGGGAGCGGGGAATACCGGGAACCCCTGGAATACCGGGAGCAGGAATTCGGGGGAATACCGGGAACCGCTGGAATACCGGGAGCAGGGATCCGGGGGAATAACAGGATCTGGGATACCGGGAGCGGGGATCTGGGTCAATACTGGGAATAGGGACACTGGGAATCCCTGGAATACTGGGAGCAGGGATCTGGGGGGATAACGGGAACAGAGACACCGGGAGCCCCTGGAATACCGGGAACTGCTGGAATACTGGGAGCCAGGAGCCCCTGGAATACCGGGATCAGGGATATCGGGAGCTGGGATCCCCTGGAATATCAGGAGCAAGGATTTGGGTTAATTCTGGGAACAGGGATCATGGGGGGATTATGGGATATCGGGATCAGGGATCCCCCGAGTACTGGGAGCATATCCCCTGGAATACTGGGATCAGGGATACTGGGATCAGGGATAGTGGAAGCAGAGATCCACTGGGATACTGGGATCTGGGATAGTGGGAGCAGGGATCTGGGGCAATACTGGGAGCCAGGAGCCCCTGGAATACTGGGATCAGGGAGCAGAGATCCACCAGGATACTGGGATACCAGGACCTGGGATCTGGGATACCTGGAATACCAGGATACTGGGAGCGGGGACCCACCAAGAGCAGGGATCCAGGGGGATACTGGGATCCACTGGGATATTGGGATCTGGAATAGTGGGAGCAGGGATCCAGGGTAATACCGGGATCTGGGATACTGGAAGTGAAGATCCACTGGGATCCCGGGAGCAGGGATCCCTTGGAATGTGAGGAGCAGGGATCCAGGGGGATACTGGGATCCACTGGGATCTGGGATAATGGGAGCAGGGATCCTCTGGAACACTGGGATCCGAGGGGATAACGGGATCCAGGACAGCAGGAGCAGGCAGGGAGCCACTGGAATTCCGGGATCTGGGGGGGGATAATGGGATCAGGGATCCTCTGGAATATCAGGAGCAGGAATCCTCTGGAATTCTGGGATCTGAGATCCGAGGGAACACTGGGATCTGGGATATTTGGATCAGGAATCCTCTGGGATTCTGGGATCCAGGGGAACACGAAGATCCAGGATATTGGGATCAAGGATTCTTTGGAATTCTGGGATCTGGGATATCAGGATCCGGGATCCTCTGGAATTCTGGGATCCGGGATATCGGGATCAGGGATCCTCTGGAATTCTGGGATCTGGGACAATAGCAGGAGTGGGAATTCCCTGGAATATCAGGAGCAGGGAACCACTGGAATTCTGGGATCCTCTGGAATTCCGGGATCCCTGAGGATTCCCCCCCCCCCCCCCCCATGGGATCCCTGGGAATTCCCAGAATTTGGAATGAGGGAATCCCCAATCCCAGGAGAGCAGAATTCCCAAATTTCCCCATCCCCTCATCCCAGCTCTGGGAGACCTCTGGAATTTTTGGGAGAAGGGAAAAAAATCGGGAATCATCCAGGAGCTGTTGGATCCAATCCCAGCTGGAATCAGCTCCCAGTCCTAAAATTATTCCAGATTTTTCCCAATGGATAAAATCATAAAATCACCTGGATAATTCCTACTGTGGCTTTGGAATTTTGGGAAAAGCTCCCAAAAAATTATCCCAGATTTTTCTCAGTGGATAAAATCGTTTGGGTGACCCCGATTGTGGCTTTGGAATTTTGGGAAAAGCTCCCAAAAAATCCTCCCGGATTTTTCCCATCATCCAAATCCTGCCCCCCCCACTTCTCAAAAAAAAAACCAAACCTTCCCAAAAAAATCCCCTCCGGAGTTTTCCAAAGGAAAAGCCAGCTGGGAAATTCGGGAATCTCCGAAAGGCCCGGGCTGTGCTAATGACTTAATTAGGGCGGGTAATTAGCGGGAGCGATAATTAAAGGCACTTGGAATATGCAAATGAGCTCCGCCGGGGGCTCGCGGGATTCCCGGAACAAAAGCGGGATCCTGGAGCTTCGTTCCTTTGGAAAAGCCCAAAATTCCCAAATCCATTCCTGGTTTTTGAAATAAATTTTAAAAAAATCAAACAAACCCCCTCTGGAATATCCCAAATCCCAGCGATTCCCAAATCACTTCCCGGCTTTTTTATCCGGGATAATTCCCAGGTTCTTTTCCCAAAATTCCAAGGCTGTGATGGGAATTTTCCAGGTGTTTTTTTTATCCATTGGGAAAAACCTGGGATCATTTTTGGGAGCTTTTCCCAAAATTCCAAAGCCACGGCAGGAATTATCCAGATATTTTTATCCACATTTTTAATCCAATTTTTATCCATCCGGGAGGATTTTTGTGGAGCTTTTCCCAAAATTCCAAAGCCAGATATTTTTATCCACTGTAAAAAAAAAAAAAAAATCTGGGATCATTTTTGGTCGCTTTTCCCAAAATTCCAAGGCTGTTTTGGGAATCATCCAGATATTTTTTAATCCACTTTTTATCCATATTTTTAATCCAATTTTTATCGGACTGGGAGGATTTCTGGGAGCTTTTCCCAAAATTCCAAGGCCGTGCTGGGAATGACCCGGATATTTTTTTTTTTATCCCCTGGAAATTCCGGGATAATTCCCTGGATTTTTTTTTTTTTTTTTTTTTTCCTGGATGATGATGAAGACGTCAGCGCCGCTCCCGGCTCCGCGCCGGGAATGTCGGGGATGAATTAATTCAGGAATTAATTCATTAATTCCGTGTTGGGATTCCGGAATGATCCGTGTCGGGATTCCGGAATGATCCGTGTCGGGATTCCCGCGGCTGCCGCGGCTTCGGCCGCCGGAATTTCAAAATCCTCAGTTCCCAGATCCTGAACTCCCAAATCCTGAATTCCCAAATCCAGCCCAAAATCCCCAAATCCTGAATTCCCAAATCCTCAGTTCCCAAATCCTGAATTCCCAAATCCTGCCCCAATTCCCAAATCCTCAATCCCCAAATCCTGAATTCTCAATCCAGCCCCAAATTCCCAAACCCTGAACTCCCAAATCCTGCCCCAATTCCCAAATCCTCAATCCCCAAATCCTGAATTCTCAATCCAGCCCCAATTCCCAAATCCTGCCCCAATTCCCAAATCCTGAACTCCCAAATCCAGCCCAAAATTCCCAAATCCTGAATTCCCAATTCCTGCCCCAATCCCCAAACCCTGAATTCCCAAATCCTGCCCCAGTTCCCAATTCCCAAATCCTGCCTCAATTCCCAGTTCCAGCCCCAATTCCCAAATCCTCAGTTCCCAAATCCTGAATTCCCAAATCCAGCCCCAATTCCCAAACCCTGAATTCCCAAATCCTGAATTCCCAATTCCTGCCCCAATTCCCAAATCCTGAATTCCCAAATCCAGCCCCAATTCCCAAACCCTGAATTCCCAAATCCAGCCCCAATTTCCAAATCCTGAATTCCCAATTCCTGCCCCAATTCCCAAATCCTGAACTCCCAAATCCTGCCCCAATTCCCAAATCCTGAACTCCCAAATCCTGCCCCAATCCCCAAACCCTGAATTCCCAAATCCTGCCCCAGTTCCCAATTCCCAAATCCTGCCTCAGTTCCCAAATCCTCAATTCCCAAATCCTGAATTCCCAATTCCTGCCCCAATTCCCAAATCTTGAATTCCCAAATCCAGCCCCAATTTCCAAATCTTGAATTCCCAAATCCAGCCCCAAATTCCCAAATCCTGAATTCCCAAATCCAGCCCCAAATTCCAGCTGGGAAGGGAATTCCTGTGACGTCACCTCCCTGGAAATGGGATTGGGGGGGATTGGATGGGGAGAATTCCATGTGGGAATGTGAGCCAGGATCCCTTTTCCAGGGATTTTGGGAATTTTAGGATGAATCCATGGACCAGGGCCCATTTTCCAGGGAATTCAGGAATTTTGGGAAGGGGGGATGAATCCAGGACCCCTTTTCCAGGAATTTTGGGATGAATCCATGGGATTTTGGGATGAATCCATGAGCCAGGATCCCTGTTCCACAGATTTTGGGAATTTTGGGATGGATCCATGGGCCAGGATTCATTTTCCAGGGAATTTGGGACAAATCCATGGGATTTTGGGAATTTTGGGATGAATCCTTTCCCAAACTCTGAGGAATTTCAGGAATTCTCTCCCTTTATCCCAGAATCCCCCAGGGTTTGGGCTCAGCTCTGCCTGAGGGATTTCCACCCCACAAGAAATTCCCGAAATTCCTTGGAATTAAATCCCCCAAAATTTTTCTCCCATTGCCAGGAAATCCCGGAGAAAAATGGGGAAAAAAAAAAAACGGGAAGGGAGGAATTTAGGAATGGGATCCGTGATACGGGGGAGGAGCTCAGATTTCTGGGAATTCTGGGAATTCTGGGAATTCCAGGAATTCCGGGAATTCCGGCTGATCCCGATGATTCTCACAGATCCAACCGGGATTGCCAGATCGACCAACACCACCGGAACCAGTGCCAGTACTGCCGCCTCAAAAAGTGCTTCCGAGTGGGAATGAGGAAGGAAGGTAGGGAAAAAATTCCTAAAAATTCCCAAATTCT